ATACACAATGTACCGGGTGGCCAACTCAGAATGGACGCCGGCTGTATCTCAAAAACTACTTATCATATAACTTTGGGAAAAAATTCTAATAAGCAAATAGACCAAGAGAAACCGCTGGAAATTATTTTCAAGTTCGAGAAATGCCTGCTAGGGGGCGTTTCTCTGAGCCAATCAGAAAACAGGGTTTTTCTCAAAAATATGGAGGTGAATAGGTACTTTAAATATTACTATTGTAATCATCGAGAAATTTGTAATTTTTTTGATATAAAGTATTTTGCTGTATCTCATAAAATAAAGTGGTGGGGGAAGATTAAACTTGCTTTTATTAAAATAAAGATAACTCTGGTTTAGGTTACGCGATTTAAACAAACTAGGGCTCGTTTGAAAGAGCTTTTCTTCCTTAATGATGTCCAGTATAAATTTTGTTTCCACAATTTTTTTTGTGGTAGCCTAGAGGGCGCTGTTTGACATAATAACAGATATTGCGCTTTTGCGTAAAAAAATTAAATAGGAAGCTATATTTCTCTTTACACAGTTAAATAGAGCACAAAATTTCTAACATATCAGCGCAAACCGCAACTTTCTATCTTCTCTCTAACCGGAGATATTAAGAGAACAAATTATGTTAGGCTGCCGCTTAGCATTATATAGTCTAAAAATTATAGTAGTAGGCTAGGAAACAAAAAGAGGTAAATTGATTACGTCAAAATATCAAAACATATATTTTAATTTCATTTTAATACCGTTTAATTATTATCTATCCATATTTTGTTCTTGATTCAACCCCATAAATTAAAACCCAGGCAGATTGTATCCGATGACCGAACTGGCCATGGAAATATGCCGCTCCAGCGCACTGTGGTACCACAAATGGACAAAATTCGTCAAAATCAATAACATCATTTTTTTGTAAAACCATTATATTTAAATAACCAATAATTCAAATTCATAATAATAAAATATTGAGGACTCTAAAACTATGCATTCATTAAAAAAATTACCCCTAAACCGTGACCGTATCAAATAACTCCGCTATAAAAAAGTTACAACCTAATCAAGTTGGCGCTTCGCAGACGTCACTTTACATTATTTGTTGACAGTTTGTTATTAAAGTGGTGTTGGTTGTACATTTTTAGCTATGAATGTCCAAAAACAAGGTAAGTTTATTAATTCTGAGTGTTAGAATTAGTTACTTTATTATTACTTTGACATTAGTAATACAAAATTATCGAAAAATTAGGCGTTTCAAATATGTTTCCCGCCTTTTCCCGAAATGATTTCCATAGTGTCAAGTAGATACATGCCTTGACCTATTATAGGACAAATATTAGTGTGCAGTTTTTGCTACTCCCTTTTTAATTAAGATCTAAAGTAACTGAGGTATTGCAAAATAAGGCTTAAAAATTCCGTTCCTTTCAGGTACATCATATCGATGTTCATTGGATAGAATGGGTATTTTTGAGATATCGTTGACAAAGGCTGGGTCTGTTTCAACAAAATCAAAACAAATATTTGGTAATTTATTAGAACAGTTACCTGACGCTGAAAATTTGAATTGTGCTAATTTGGAAAAGAAAATTTTTATTTGTGCAAAAAAATAGCAGAAAATTGGGCAAAAGCCAGGCGCAACAAAGATTTTTTTCTAAAAACAAATTCTAATTGGTTAATAAAGACCGATGATATCTTCGTTAACACACAGGTGTCCAAATTAACCCAAGTCAACAAACCATCTACCCGTACATGCGGAAGACCAAAAAAAAATTTTAATGAGTGTTGTCGACGGTCACAACAGAGAAAACTGTCGCAAATTTCTGTCATCGATAACTCCTTGGTAACTATGTTACGAAGGCCTTCATCTAACGTTAATTACAAGAAAGTTGATGCCGATGAAGTCTTATCTCTTCTAGTTGAAGCTAACTGACTAAACACCAGTATATATTGTTAAGAAATTTTATTAATTCTAAAATAAATAATATGTTTCCTTCGTATCAAAAAAGTTTTGAAGTCCAAGAAAAAGTGCTACCCATCTAATCATCTGCTGAGATAGAGTTACAAAACTTACTCGATCATACAGCAAGCAGAATATGGTCATCACAACCAGAGGTGATAAACTCTACTTCAGAAAATCAAGACCAAAATTTGGTTTTGTTTGGAAAATGGGGATTTGACGGTAATAGTGGTCACTCAGAATACAAGCAATCTTTTCAAGATCCAACATTCCAAGACGGAAGTTTATTTGTGACTTCATATGTACCACTTTGTCTTGTTTTTGGAAATAACCCTGAAAAAATAGTGTGGAAAAAACCCCGAACCTCCTCTACACGTTATTGTAGACAGCTTAGATTCCAATTTAAAAAAGAAACTAAAGAAGCAGCTCTTAACGAAGAAAAATACTTTACAGAAAAAAATAATTCCCTGAAGCCCACAGTAGTTTCATTTAATGACAAGAACTATTCCATAAAGCACAAACTGCAGCTTACTATGGTGGACGGGAAGATTTGTAGCAGTTTAACTGAATCGTCTTCAGCCAGATATTATATATGTGGTTCAAGTCCCAAAGAAATGAACGATATTGATTTGTGCCTTCAAAAACAAGTTCGCCCAGAAACATTTGAATTTGGCTTGTCACCTTTACATTCATATATACGATTCTTTGAATATTTTTTACATCTTTCATATAGATTAAATTTTAAAAAATGGCAAATACGGTCTAAAGAAGCTTTTTTCTGAAAGGAAAGGCCAGATTCAATCTGAGTTTAGAAATAAATTAGGATTGATAGTGGACAAGCCAAAATGTGGAGGAAGCGGTACTTCCAATGACGGAAATACCGCAAGAAAATTCTTTAAACAATTAGATGAATCCTCTGAAATTACAGGTTTAAGCAAGAGTCTTCTAGAAAGATGTTCTGTAATTTTAAGGTGCATTTCATCAGGATTCAAAATTAATATTATAAAGTTTAAAGAATGTTCTTTAAGTACGGCTCGGTTACTGGTGGCTGAATATCCCTGGTATAATCTTCCCCCTTCAGTCCACAAGGTACTTATACATGGTCCTGATGTAATAGAAAGCGCCATATTACCCATTGGAGAATTATCAGAAGAAGCTGCTGAGGCCAAAAATAAAGAGTACCTATAAATTATTTCGACTAAATCATACTCGAAAAATGTCTCGTACAAAGTGTAATATGGATCTTTTAAATAGACTCTCACTTAGTTCAGATCCCTTAGTAACAGAATTAAGGAAATTGCCGCCAAAAAATAAAAATAGCTTTCCTAAGGCAGTACTAGATTTGTTAGATGAATAGTATATAAAATTTTGTTGTTTGTTGTTATTTAAGTATTAATATTTCCTCTTTAAATTTAGTTGAATAAACATATTCATACTAAAATTTAAAAAAATCCATGATGTAATTCGATTTCTCTTATTTTCGATTTTATTGTTGTCATTTTAGTATTTGTTAAAATTGTTATAAATAACCAAAGCATATAATTACAATATACCTGACCATACCAAACCAAACAATATACCTGAACATACCAAACCAAACCAAAGCATATAATTACAATATACCTAATATAAATAAAATGTATTTTAGTATAGTTTTTTTATTAAACAGTAGAAGGGAACCAATATTAAAAAAATTATCAATTCTAAACTCTATTATCTAATTTCATTCTAACGGGGTAGTAGGACCTCTGTTAATTAATTTTATAGTATTTTTTTACAAATTTGTGCATATAATTGAAATAATTGATTTTTGTCACCGCTTAACATATACATGGAACCACTGTGCAGCGTCTCTATCTACTAAAGTAAGTGGTATCCAAGAAGCCCCACACATTCATAGCAAAATAAGCGGCATCACTGCCTCAACTACACCAATGGCATTCATGCTGATGAAATTGCAACAAATGCAATTTCATCATGATTGATCCCCTAACAAAATTGGCAAATCATTTCTTAGAAATTATGGATAGTTCATTTCATTCGGATAATTAAAAAAGTCCAATCATTTGCCATCCTAGAATTCCTGCGTAAACATTTACCGACCAATGGTCTTGGTGCTAAACTACTTGCATCAAGGGCAGAATTGGAGCAGTAGTGCATATTGTTAAGATTCGCACCTTCGTTCGGTGCTATATGAAAAGTGACCCAAACGACATAAACTTTATAATACAATAATAAATAACACAAACAAGAGGTAAAACACGAAAACAAGTGAAATCAAGGACGAACTTGGATTAATAACTAAATGACGTTATATGAATAAAGACCTAGTTTCCGACCATACGAAATTCGGCGGTTTTTTCTGTTAAAAACAATATGGCGGCACAATATTCCTAGAAATTTTAATAAAATTATTGATACTCCGACTTTCGGACATTTTAATCTGAATCTACCTACGTATAATTAACCAAGAAATTCGTAAAAATTATATGGATGGATGATAGTGTTACATAAACACGTTTAAATAATTATGACGTCATTTTTTTTAAGAAAACGCCCGAAATTCGGATGCATGAAAACTGAACTTAAACGTTTTGATATTTTGACGTAACCAATTTACCTCTTTTTGTTTCCTAGCCTACTACTATAATTTTTAGACCATATAATCCTAAGCGGTAGCCTAACATGATTTGTTCTCTTAATATCTCCGGTTAGAAAACAGATAGAAAGTTGCGGTTTGCGCTGATATTTTGGAAATTTTGTGCTCTATTTAACTGTGCAAAAAGAAATATAGACTCCTATTTATTTTTTTTACGCAAAAGCGCAATATCTGTTATGATGTCAAACAGCGCCCTCTAGCTACCACGAAAAAAATTGTGGAAACAAAATTTATACTGGAGATCATTAAGGAAGAAAAGCTCTTTTAAACGAGCCCTAGTCTGTTTAAATCGCGCAACCTAAAGGTATGGCCTTGAATTGTTACTCCCAACGCGCTTAAAGAAGTTTCACTTCAATAACAAAGTAAAATAATTACTGAAAGTTCAAATTTTAGGTGAAAATTTAGGTGATGTAAATCCTATGGAACTACTTTCTGGATTAGGGACACTTGTAAACACTTTTCAGGGTGGTAACGGAGAAGAAGGTAGTGGTCCTGCAGCTCTGTTGCAAGGTCTTGGAACACTCATGAATAGTGGCAATAATAAAGGTGCCCTGTAATTAATTTTCAAATTGTAATAGATAATAATAATATAATTTCAGAAGGAAACAATGCCGGCGCTTTACTTCAAGGTTTAGGTACGCTTTTGACAAATGACAAAGAAGGAGACAATGAAAATAATGGTGGAGCTGCTCTACTCCAAGGTTTAGGTTCGGTGATAGCAGCTGCTGCAACAAATGGCCAAGGAAAAGGTGAATGCCAATTATTATGCACGACACAGAGTATTGTAACTAAACGATTAGATTTTTACAAATTGTAAGTTTTGGTTTCATTGACGGGCTATTAGAACTACAATTTAAAAATATTTTTACAAATACAGAGTGTCCCAAATAAGTAAAAAATATTATAGGTAGTTGTATTTTTTAAATGGAATATTCTATATATTATTCAATTTTTAGATTCTACGATTGAAATAAAGGCAAATTTGACTAAGGTTTATCACACTTAAACCTTGGCGTTTTTGAAATATTTTCAATTTTATTAAATTGCAGTAAAAATTTTAAGGCTTCATTTCTCCAAGGGTATCAAAGTTTTTAATACTTAATATTTACTGAAGTTTATTTCTTGATTAGATATTGTGTTGCAATAATAAACAAAATACTACCTTATACAGAGTGCCTAAAAATTTATATTAAATAATTACTCGCTTTAAACGGCAATAACTTGTTTAATTTAAATGAAACACCCAGTATATTTTACGAGAATCAGATGCACAATTTTATTATACCATTTTTTACCTGTCTCTTCAAGTTTTCGTATAAAATGCATTTTCTCATAATTTAGACCTCATTTATTCATGGAATATTGACATTTTAGATTATGTTTAAAAATGTAACAAATTTTCCAAAAATACAAATACTAATATTGTTGATATAGTTAGCATATTTCATTAAAAAATAAAAAAGCTGTTTAAATATTGTTTGTTATAGAGAATCAATTAATATGATCAAGTATGATTAAGTATTCAAATTCAAACTACAATAGTAATTGGCTACGTTGATTAGTAATAATACGAACACTTGAAGAGATAGGTAAAAAATGGCATAATACAATTTGATAGACAATTAAATTGTGCATTTGATTCATGTAAATAAAATATACAGGATGTTATACCATTACCTATACCATTTAAATTAAAAAAGTTATTTCCGTTTAAAGCAAGTAATTATTTAATATACATTTTTAGACACTCGTATAAGGTAGTATTATATATTTTTATTATTGCAACACAATATTTAATCAATAAATATTCTTCAGTAAGTATTTAGTATTAAAACCTTTAATACCCTTGGAGAAATGAAGCCTTAATGTTTTTACTGCAATTTCACAAAATTGAAAATATTTCAGAAACGGTAAGGTTTAAGTGTAATAAACTTTAATCAAATTTATCTTTATTTCAATCGTAGAATCTAAAAATAGAATAATATACAGGGTGCTTGTTCCATTTCAAAAAAATACTATATTTTTTACTTATTTGGGACAGTCTGTATGTTAATTATTTTTAAATTGTAGCTCTAATAGTCCTTCAACGAACCCAAAACTTGCAATTTGTAAAAATCTAACCATTTAGCAATACTCCGTATCGTATGTGATGAATAACCCTGTATATATTCATGGAAACTAAAGTTGCAGTTTTATTTTAGGACAAGACAATTCTGTACTAGATGGCTTGAGTTCTTTGTTGGGTGGTCAAAATGGACAAGGAGGAATAAATCCTGAAATGATAGGAAACGTCATAAATATGTTTGCTAATACACAACAAGCTAAGGTTCCTAAACATAAAAAAGGCGCAAGTTCCAAAGTAAAGAAGAATAAAAAGGTATACTTACTAGAGATTAGCAAAACTGCGATTGCGATTTTATAGGTATACCTATAATAATTATAGTCTGTGTATGTTCAATTACCTATGACAATTATTGTCTGTGTATGTTCCTATAACTTAACAGTTAAAAAAATTAATGTTTCCATTTGAAAAATTGAGATATGATCAAAAATACGATTTGGGCTTCTCGTAATCGACCAGGACAACACACAAGAAACAATAGACAATTAAATCTTTTTTTTTCCGAGGATCCTTGATTAAAAATTAATTTTTTTAACACAACCATGGCACTCTGAAATTTAAAATACGATTTTTTAAGCGTAAATGTCAAAAGTTGACATATGATATGCCATTCAGATATTATACATATATCATGATATTCAGAGTGTCATTTTCTATTGAACAAAGTAAAAAAATACCGGGGTGCCGTTTAAAAATCAAAAGTTGTAGTCATTTCCGGTGAAATAGGAAGTGATCGATACGAAGTGAATATACGAATTAAATACGTCAATCAATCCTAATTTATGTCATATGCTAACATCCCAAATCTCGATATTTATCAGTTATAAATAAGTTAATAAGGGCGAACTACTCTTGAGAAACACCCGGTATATTATGATCTGGCCCTAGAAAATAATACCTTCTTTATAAATAAATAAAAGCAGAGAAAAAATTTAATCGCAGTTTGTTATAAAATGCTTCAATGGATCACAAAATTACATCTGCAAAAAAATTCCAAATCGCAGATAGAGTGTTATCACGGTCCTAATTTACGAAATCACAATCGCAGTAAAATCGCATATTACAACAAAATCTCAACTCGCAACTATAGTAATATTGGTTGCCTTAATTAAAACTCGCAAATGGAAGAAATCGCAGCCGCAATTTCTTATGAGAGCCAATCGCAGATTGCGAATGCGACTTTAAAATTGCTGCGATTCAATCGCAGTTTACGATTTGTTACTCAACTCTAATACTTACAATATAAAATAAATTGAAGTAGAACTAACTCACAATTGAGGGGTTAGAAGCTTTGGTGTTACAACAAAATAAAACACGTATTCATCACAATACACTAAAACACACATATTAGCATCATCAGTTTTGGTGTATTATGGTGAATAAGTATTTTATTTTGCCCAAAACTAACTCACATTTATTATAGGCGAAATCAAAGAAAGATGCCGAATTTGATTTAAGCGATGCAATAAATTTCGCAAGTTCGCTTTTGAGCAAAGGAAAAAGTACTGGGTCTTCATTTATGGATTACATACCAACTATTATGAATACCATTAATGCTTTTACTGGTAAGTTATTCTCAGTGGATCGTTTTAGCACTAAGAACATTAATTTTTTCTAGGACCAGAAGCACAAGAAAGAGCTGACAGTCATTCGGGACATAAAGGAACCATCCCCGCTATAATTGAGAAATTTCATCTGTTTTTTGATAACTTTTTACATTCTGATATGGCCAAAAAGATTTTGAATTATATTGGAAGCGAGAAGGCATTCAAAGTAAAATATTCTAATACTTTTTGAGCATAAACATACATAAAAAATGTCTATACCGGGTGTTGCATCGTCGATCGGGACATAGGAAATCCCATGTAAATTTTAATGGGGTCCATTATTGGCTTCCCTAATTATTTTAGAGAATAATTCTATTTAGGTTTATTGAAGAGCACTAAAAACCCACATTCAAAATAATAACTTTAGATATTTTTGATTAGCCCGTTTACGAGTTATCGACGATTTCTTTTTAAATATTTCACCTTTCTTATGGCCCTGTATTTACTTATGAGTACCAGTCAAGGTAAAAGATAACTGTCAAATGAAGTTGTCATTTCAGAAATGTATCTATTTAGTGCTTTATTATTCTTATTAAAAACTCATACCTACATCGAAAATATTAGGCATGAATTACACTACCGAAGAAAAAGTATTGATGATTAAATGGTATTATCAAGGAAATAGTTATCAAAAGGTGTCGGACATGTTTGCTGCTCTGTATCCGAATAGACCGATACCTGGAAAATCTACAATCGCAAGGAATATCCAGAGATTTGAGACCAAAGGTACCCTAATAAATAACTGCAGATGTGAAGCAAGGCAGGAACAAAGAGAAGATGCAGGAAATGTTCCCGACTTGGAAGTTTTATTGTGCGTGGAAGAGAACGATGGAAAGATCAGCACAAGAAAACTTGAGGATGAAATAGGAATAGATCACACTATAGCGTTTCGAATTTTGAAACGTCATAAATACTATTCCTTCAGATATGAAAAGCACCAAGAGCTACGAGATGGGGAGGAAATACGGCGGCAGGCGTTTTGTTTTGATATGATGAAAAGAGCAAACACGGATAGGGAATTTTTAAAAGGCATATGTTTCACTGATGAATGCACGTTTACCTTAAATAATGAAACCAATGTTCAAAATTATCGATATTGGAACAAAGAAAACCAACACAGGTTTGTCGAAACAAGGACGCAATATCCACAGAAAGTAAATGTTAGGCAGGGATATGCGGACACAATATTATCGGGCCATTAATTCTTACGTAATTACGTATTTCTTAAATTTAAATGCAGAATATTATTTGGAACTACTCGAAAATCATATTTTACCTGCTTTACATGATCCCGCTAGGGTAAATCAGGAAGTTTGGTACCAAATAGATGGCTGCCCGGCACATAGTACCCTGGCTGTTCGGGAATATTTAGACAATAGTTTTAACGGAAACGTTATTGGCCTAAATCATACAGTAAATTGGCCAGCAAGGTCTCCTAATATTTCGCCAAAGGATTTCTTTCTCTGGGGCCATTTAAAAAACAGAATATACAAGGACAACAAATACCCAAATCTAGACGAGTTAAAAAATGCTATTTCTGCCGAATGCAGTAGAATTTCAGTTTACCAACTAGCGAATGTAAGAAGAGAATTTTATGATCGCCTGGGTTATTGTCTAGCAGTCGATGGAGGAATATTTGAACATCTTCTTAAATCCTAAAGTTATTGAATATTGTAATAATACTATAATTAACCTTGTAATTGATTACTTTATTTTACTTTAATTCATATTAATTTGTATTTATAAATACATCTTTAAGATTTCCGATGTAGGAATGAGTTTTCAATAATAATAAAGCACTAAATATGTAAATTTCTGAAATGACAACTTCATTTGACAGTTATCTCTTACCTTGACTGGTGCTCATAAGTAAATACAGGGCCATAAGAAAGGAGAAATATTTAAAAAGAAATCGGCGATAGCTCGTAAACGAGCTAATCAAAAATATATAAAGTTATTCTTTTGAATGTGGGTTTTAGTGCTCTTCAATAAACCTAAATAGAATTATTCTCTAAAATAATTAGGGAAGCCAATAATTGACCCCATTAAAATTTACATGGGATTTCCTATGTCCCGTCCGACGATGCAACACCCGGTACATATGTGGCGGATTCAAGAAAATTCTACAAAATAAAATAGTTATTTTTTGTAAACACTGCTGGGCGTTAATCCAACGCAAACTACTTGTCAGCAGTTAAGTTTATTGATAAACAAATTTGCCTAACGAAGACCCTTAAATGTTCGAACTAAAGAACATAAAGATTATTTAAGAAAGGGCGATTTGCACAAATCTAAGATTTGTCAGCATTCATGGGACACGGGGCACAGAACAGATTTTAACAAAGTCAAAATTATAATGATAGAAGCGATAGCCTCTAAAAGAAAAATAAAAGAGGTTTTTTTAATACAATCCATTAAAAATAAATGTATTGTTTATGCATCTGTATATGTTAGTAATGTATGGCAATCGCTTCTTTGATTTTAAAGAAAAATTTTAAAAAACATAAATAAATATTACGTATGTAAAGATTAAAAACAAATTAAAAATAATCATACCGAAAGTTTGAGGCTCTTTGGTTTTACCTTATTAAGTAATTGAGGCAGTAAATGTTAATTTTGAAGTTTAACTTGGTATAATATAATTTTGTGTCATATTAACAGAACGTAAACGGTTTTTGTAGACGTATCTGTTTTAAAAAATTGATCAAGTGCGAGTCGGACCAGGGGCGTAGATAGGTGTATGCTATGGGGGTGGTACTATGATTAAGTCGCAAAAAAAATCACCGTCGGAATTTTTTTGTCGAATTAAAACGACGGCGATTTTTTTGTCTTCAAAAAGATATAAAAACATAACACAAAAATTAAAATATAGATTTGTAAATAACATAAACAAAAATGAAACAACGACGTTTATTAGTTAATTTTCTATAAACTATAAATAAAAAACTCTAAACTATCAAAAAAAACTATAAAAACTATAAACTATAAATAAAACTACAAAACAAAATCAAGTTTTCTAGTACGCTGTTTGGAAAACCTATCAATAACAGCATCAACATTTTTTTCAATATCTTTATGGATATTGATTAGAGTTAACCCACTAATCTGTCCTGGCCAATAAGAACACTTTGTGTGCTTTTAATTAGGTCGAACATATTATAAACGATAAATCAACATAATTAAAAGCATACAAAGTGTTCTTATATGTCGGATATTAATTAAAAAAAATCCTTTCATAGTCAATGACTATTTCAATTCTCGTATCTCGTCAAGCGTCAGGGGGGGGGAGGTACTGTCCCCCCAGTACCCCCCCCCCTTATCTACGCCCTTGAGTCGGACTCGCGCACGAAGGGTTTCGTACCATTCATTATCTATACAACATTAGACAGTATACAGGGTGGTCCGAACTGTATTCCGGAAACTTCGGCAGCATATTTTGAAGATAGAAATAAGTAAAAAAGTTCGTATAAATGTATGTCCTAAAATACCCAGTTTCAGAGATACAGGGTGTAGAAGTTTCAGTTTTATTTCGATTTTTTCCAAATAATTTCTGAATTATCCTTAATATTTATTATATAGGATTAAAATTAGTGTCTAAGAGTTCCTTGACATGAGAAATGAGAAGAGAGATTTTGATGTCAGAAAGAGATTTTGATGTCAATATGACTCCTACTGGTAGAGGGCGCCACTTACGTGAGTTTTAACTGTTTTGAAGCGTAATAACTTTTTGTCCGTACCTGTATAAAACTTCCGAGGGAAAAAATATACATCTCTGTGACTTTTTGCGTAGAAAATATCTCTTTGTAAAACTCGCTACGAGCAACCGTTCTCAAGATATTTAGAATGGAAATAGTCAATACATATGTCATTATTGACGAACAATATAAACACTAATTTTTTAAATTAATAACTAATTTTTTTTAAATTAATCATAAATTTTTCTGCAAAAAAATGATGATAAAATAGTTTTTGTTGAACTTTTGGCACAAAAACTTTCAAATTTATGATCTCAATCTAATAACTATTTAGTCAACATGTTTAATTTATGTCAATGATGACAGGTATTGATAATTTCGATTCTAAATATCTTGAAAACCAATACTCGTAGCGATTTTTACCAAGAAACATTATTTACATAAAATACGTCGTAAATGTATATTTTTTTACTCAGTGTTTTATACAGTTACGGACGGAAAGTTATTACTATTCAAACCAGTTTAAAATTATGTAGGTGGCGCCCTCTACTAGTAGGAGTCATATTGACATCAAAATCAAATTTCTCATGTCAAAAATCTCCCAGACACCAATTTTTAGCCAAATATTGACGTTACTGCAGAAATTATTTGGAAAAAATCGAAAAAAAAATGAAACTTCTAGAATCCTGTATCTCTGAAACTAAGCATTTTAGGACATACATTTATACGAACTTTTCTATTTATTTTTAACTGCAGAATATGCTGCCGAAGTTTCCGGAATACAGTTCGGACCACCCTGTATATTATTATAGACTATTCCGATTAAGCTGAAATTTTGAATGCGCGTATAAGTAATTAGAAAAAAATGAAGAAACACATTACTAAAAATTATATTAATCAATAATAAATACGTAAAAAGTATAAATAAATATGTAAAAATATGTAAAAATTAAAAAAAAAACGATTAAAAAAAGTTGCCTTGACTAGGATTCGAACTTGCCTTACTACAGCTCCAACGTTATAGCAGCGTAAAGTCCTAACGCTTTAACCACGCGGCCAACGAGGACTTAAAAGATTCTATGTAAAATTCTTACTTAAAAGATAATGTTTTGTGAAAGTACTTTTTTATTTATAAACATTTATTTAATTCTGTTTTTAGTATTTGTTCTTATAGCGGCAACATAGATACATTATCTGTAAAAATTTCAACTGTCTAGCTGTAACGGTTCATAAGATAGACCTTTGTGACAGACGGACAGATGGACGGACGAACGGACGGACAGCGAAGTCTAGTAATAGGGTTCCCGTTTTTTACCTTTTGGGTACGGAACCCTAAAAACTAAAGTGTTCACGAATAGTTGCATTTAAATATTTTAAATAGTTTTTTTCCTTATTCTTTGTATTTTTTTGCTTCCGACGACGGAAAGAGATATATTTCCAAGTTCGTTAGGCAAATTTGTTTATCAGTAAACTTAACTGCTGACAAGTAGTTTCCGTTGGATTAACGCAGAAGTATTTACAAAAATAACTATTTTATTTTGTAGATTTTCTTTCAGTGGCGAAATACTCATATAGAATTTTTTTGGAGAAATAAACATAAATAGCAAAATCATTTTTAAGGTTTTCCACGATAAAGATGGTAAATTCAGCACGGACAAATTCCAAAGTTTAATCGAAAACCATTCATTTAGAAAACATTGGATTAGTCAACTTACGGGAAGATTGATAGATTTCTTAAAGTTTATAGCTGATGAAAAAACTCAAAATCAGTAAGTTGTATATTTTAAGTTTGTCTAGTTTATTAATATAACTTTATGTTCTTTAGGTATATTTTTAGTGGACTTTCCTTCATAAACGCTTTTCTTAAAAGCAACGGATTTCCAAACAACGCTCTTATTAACATAAAAGATCCTGTCGTATCGATAACAAACTTCGTGAATTACAGCGCGAAAAAATTCTTAGATACAGAGGTAGACTCGAAGGAGTATGTCAAGCCAGCAGTCCTATATATTAAGGTAATATAATATTGGAGGTAAAAAGTAAATATGCTCAATAAAAATTTATAGGATATATTGAAAATGGCAAAGAAAGCTATCAATATTAAACGAGAGCCGAAAGAATTGACAGACAGACTAACCGATACAATAAATATGGACTTTATAGAACCGATAACACGAGTAAATAGGGCATACAGATTTGCTAAATCTCAGCCATCTTGTGATAGGTATGTTACCTTTAATTTATTTTTATTTATATGAACCTTCAATGTAGCTCTTTCTCAATATTTTATTATCGCCTAATATAATGAAACATAGGATATACAGGGTGTCCTTTTTCTCTATAGGCATAGAGCTATTACGTATTTTTGGAGTCAAAATAAGTTCATTGGATATAATTTACCTCTATACAGATGTACTTCGTTTGTCCGTTAAATGGCATCAAACTTAAATATATATCTTAAAAAATAAACACATTGTTTGAGATATTTTAAGAACAGACGATAGACGAATAAAAAAATAAATAGACGAATAATAAAATCGCATAGACGAATCAAATCAACGCATTAGCGCATAGGAGGCTTAAGCTATACTTTTTTGTCTATAATAAAAATGTTTTATACCGACACGTAATAACTAAGTAATATCGTTTTGTGGCACAAAACCTGTCCGAGATGTTTTTTGTCCGAGAATACCGAAATTTAATTTAGCTCTGCGCCGCAGCACGCTGATGATGAGTCGTTTACGGCACGGCACAGCGGATAAAGAATACTGTGGCCGTAGTTCTGCCACATATTAGGTATCCTATAAATATACAGATAAAAATCTTGTTCCTAATTCGTGGTACGAAAATTGTTTTTTATGACGATGTGCAAACGAGTCAAATTTCCTGTGCGCAAAAATAAACTTGCGTAAAATAACAATTAACAGCGTAATAGAGAGATATCGCTAAACCGAATAGCGTGCATGGACGTTAATAAGGCCAGGGGTTATTTCCTTTACGTGAGGTGGTATTAACTCTCTTCATTTATAGTTATCGGATTGGAAAGAATTCTGATCGTGTCGCGTCCGCTATTTAAACTTAACCTAACTTTGAATTTAAAACTTTGAAATTGTTTTGTTTACTAGGTATTTTAAAACTAAAGGGCTAAAGTGCTTATTTCCAGTGCTTTATTGTTCAACGTCTGCCAGTGGGTTTAGGGCAACAAGCAACAAATTCTCTTAGAAGGGCTAAAGCTTGATTTTCATGCGTCCGTTATCCGTTGATACGATGGTCCGATATTAATTTTATTGGTTGACTTTAAGGACTTCAATTGGTTAGAAACGGTTAACCAATCCAAGTCTTTACATTCAACCAATAAAATTAATATCGTCAGACAACGGATACGTAATCAAGCACCGTCATCTGCTGTAAACCTAAAAGACTCTTTTATAGGTTCTTTAGTATTGGAAGAGGTGGAATCCATATTTTTGGGCCATATTTATTTAATTAAAACTAATCCCAGCTACTTAAATATCAAACTACCTAATAAAACTAAACAATAAAACAATTCAAACATAACCTAAAATAAAAGATCTCGCCGGCCGGCTCCGGTTGTCAAATACCCGCACATGCCCATTTAAGCAATTTTTAAACGTTATCAGAGGTTATTTAGAAAGAGCGCTTGGTGTAATTGATCCGCAAATTACGTCAGACGGTAACGTTATTAGCGGGTGTTGCGTTAAAAATTGACTCGCGCCTTTACTCGCGCATATCGTAACCGTGATAAGGTACGCGTAAATACTGGATGACGCTATTCGGTTTTCCGATATCTCTCTAATAACTGTGTCGGTAAGGCGCTGTGCACAATTTTAGAGGCCATAAGTGGGCGTGCTATGTGCGCAAACTAGTCACCTAACTAGTGCCCGATTCTGAAAATTGGAACCACGAAAAACCATAAAGAAAAAACAAAGATTATAATCTGCATAATCTGTGGTTCTGCTTTCAGTCGACAGAGTGAGTGGTTGCCTGAGACAGTGTTGCCAGAACTACTGGTTAATCCGTAGATTACGGATTTTGGGTATAGTGCGTTAATAATACAGATTTTCTGTCATTAACCAATTTAATATAATACTATATAATTAAACAAAGAATGGCGTCAGAGTTGGGTTGGAAATAAAGATCGCTGTTATTTTATCTGTAAAATAGTATGATAAATGTCAATAATCGTCATTTCCAAGCCAACTAAACGACTTTTTTTAGATCAGACATATTCAGTATCTATAAAAGAAATTTTATTATTTTTTTTATTCTATGTTTAAAAAGAATAAATTTTCAATACATAAACGCGGATATTTCATCCAAAGACATTTTCGTCAAACTCTTGTCTATACATATATGATCAAACGTACTACAGAGATATTACATAGTTTAATATGGCAACGCTGTCGCTTCAGATCCACACCGTCTTCGATATGCCTTCGCTGGCCGAATTAGACAAAATAAGTGTTTTATGGGTTGACCGCAGAACAATTGGTGTCACCACCATAGGGCACTTGGGACCAAATACGTTTAAATAATATATACGACGGCCTCCCCATAAGAGCTATGAGAGGATTTACGTCCCAATATTGAAGGAGGCAGAAAATCGAGTCGAATGTTTCAAAACATAGGTTCATCCTTGTTTAGTCAAACCTCCTACAAGGATAGACTTATTTAGGAAATGCATTGAAGTTCTATAGCCATCCTTCAACATCGGGACAGGAATTTAAGCGGTACCCTCCGTATACTTTATTTTAAACTTATTTGCTTGGGACGTAAGGGGAAATCAAATCAGCCTTGTTACGAATTTGTCCATGAGGTTGCGTATCTTCCCAACTCTTTCAATCAACGGTAATATGTTCTTTTTTAATTTCAAATCGATGAGTTTAAAAAAAAAGATGCAAAAAGAAAAAAATTCTAAATATACCCACCAATTAAACATCACTTTTCCAAGTCGTTGCTTCATTTTTTCCCAAATTTAGTTAACAGTAGTAGGTAGTGTTATTTGCTAATATGCGGATAGCGTTCTTTCGTAGTAGTAGTCCTACTCCCATAAAATGTCATTATTCTTCGGTTTTTCTTTTTTAAGATAAAAATAAGAACATTTTTTTTTCTTCCATCTTTGTACTGCATCTCCCTAATAGTTAACTTTTGATCCCGTATTTCTTATGCAGTCTTAGCTTTATTATACGGACTTAGACGTTGTGCAACTTAGTTTATGTAGAAATTCTTTAAACTGAGAATTTCCAATAAAATTAATATCAATATTGACATTGTAAACTAAATCTAAAAGTGCTTTTATATAATGTCAAATTATTTACTTTGGCAACTCAATGTATAATCAACTGACTCTTGGCTCATAATTCAGTGAACTGTTTGACGCCATTGTTATGAATAACTTCAACATTTCAAAATTTCTCCTTAATTTCGGAAACAGCTATACTGTGCCACTTAGAAATGATATCATAAAATAGTGTATTTAACTTGTTTTATTATATTTTTAAATTCGTGAAGGGAAATCAATAACTTGATCAATAATTACCTTGATTAGTAGGTATTTTCTCAGAGTAAATCACGAACCAGTCTGAGCCAATCAGTAGTTTCAAGTTTCAGTAATGGTCACAAGCTAACAAATTCAGAACTATAATAATTATAAATAATTTGTTATCTAGAATATTTTTAATTATAGTTTATACAACGATTGGCTTTATTCTTAGGTTAGTTTGAAATAGCCTCAATCATCCTTAATTATTTTAAAAACATGTAACCTATAAGAAAATTTAATATATTTTTAAATTAAAAATAAAACTATAATTGACACCAGCAAACTAGACTTTTTTAAAAAAACTGAAAGAATAAGCTGATAGTGTGCATTCGTGGTAGTAATATACTCATAAAATTTCATTATTCTATAGCTTTCCGTTTTTAAAATATAAAATAAGAACGTTATTTTTCTCCTATATTTGTAAATGACAAAAAAGTAATTTCATCGTAAATCTTCACAACTATAACTGAACTGAAACTATCTGAAAAAATGTATATTATATAGTTAAATATATAAATTTATAACTAGGCTACAAATATTGGTAAATGAAATTATAAGATCATATCAAATAAAATTTTAGTCACGTGATTAAGCCAAGCTTGATCGGCACAGCGTTGCTCATCTTGTACACTTCGTACTAAAAAAGGTTCTAAGAAGAACAATGTTCGACTGCTAGGTCTGCTAGTTAAACCATAGGTAAAAGAAAATAATCTACTATTAAGATAGATATGAAACTTAATAGTAAAATTTTGGGTCAAAGCGCCCCTCCGTGTTTTTAGTAGAGACTACGTTTAACTCAGCGCCTTCGCCTTTTTTGCTGTAAATGTTTTTTATGTTTATATTTGAATTCACAGGATTTATTTTTAAAGTTACACTGATATATTAGTATATCAGAGTAACTCAGGAGTAACTTTAATAAAACATAAGAATATATATATTTTACAGTTTATTTTTTTATTTATTTTACAGAGCTTCATGTAAATGATCGTAAGTCGACTGGCTGTCTAATGAATAGACAGAGATTTATAGATTTTAAAGCGAACGAAAAAAAAAATCAAACAACGAATACATACCATATATTTTTCTTTTATGTAAGATACATACCTTATCGTCTTTTGGAAACACGTGCATTTTTGCAGTTTTGTTAGTTTCTTTGCAAGATGCAACACAACAAGAAAACACCATTTTTACAGTTAATAAATAATAAAACTATTTCTGACTATGATATTTAAAATTTATATAGAAAAATAAAAAATAAACCGGTATTTGCAGACGCAGACCCAAATTCAATAAAAATCAAAATTTTTCTTGCGAAAATCGGGTTTATTTCACTGAAAAGGTATTTTTTTATTTATCTATGGATTTATCAGCAATCATTGTTAAGTTGACAATATACAGGGTATTTTCCAATTAGTCTAAAAAAATTGTGGTGTGATTCCTCATGTGTTCTTAAAACAATTTTTATATAACCATTGGGTCTAAAGTACTTCCTTTCTGATCTACAGGGTGTTAAAAATTAAAAAAAGTCGATTTTTTTGCTTAACATAAATGGCACACCACTGCTTTTTTAAAGAAAATATATTTTTTCTTGACTGGCTATCCTTTTTCAACAAAATTGATCTTTTGAGTTTTTCTTGTCGAGAAAAATATAAATATACTTATTAAGAGCCCGCCTTAATCCGTTTTCTAACGATTTTTTATTTTTTAGATTAGTTAGGAAACACCCTGTATATGCATATCACAGGCATCTAAATAAACTAGTAACCTCTAAAAATTATTTTTACTACCACTAGCAACATACCGTGTTTTTAGTATGTACTAAATTATTTTATCAAAATTTCACCATATAAGTTTCCAGGCAGTGATTTAAACCAAAATCTCGTAATACAAAACTAAAGTATCAAAACGAATGACAATGTCAGGAAATAAATAAATGTGGCAACTTGACATTTTTAACAGCAGAGCTACCCCCTAAATCCCCAGCGGGAAATTTAAATTCCAATTTCCAGTTTATTCCAGCCTAGGGTTGGCAACAATGAATTTAAAAATGGCACCCTCGATTACGTAACTAAAAGCACTTCTTATAGTGCCATACTCTATATAGAGCGTCGGCTACCTCTCGCATGTACTTATGATGTGTGTCATCAGTGTTTCACATGTACAAACTAAAAGCACAGATAGCTAAAAGTTTAATAGATATCAAATATATCTTGAGAGTAGCCTTATTTATAGAGTAGTAGAGAGAACGTAGTGACCGGCCGTAGCTCCAGCGTTAGTGTGTCGATCTGCGGAGCGGAAGGTACTGGGTTTGATCCCCAGCCAGTACGGTCGCTTTATTTATTTAAGTAAAAATTTTTATTTATCTAAATAGAGCGACCAACGAGCCGCCACCTCAAGGAAGACAATGGCACACCACCTTGAGTATATTTGCCTTGTACAGCCTCTCAAATAGTGCCGTTCGGATTCGGCAATAAACTGTAGATCCCGCGTACTTGTGAAACACTGATGACACATCACAAGTACATGCGAGAGGTAACCGACGCTCTATATAGAGTATGGCACTGTAAGAAGAAGAGAGAACGTTGGCAATTTTTCAGCATATAATTAAAACCGAAAAATAGCGGGACAAATAGTTATTTAAAGCTAATATAATGTACCGGGTGACAAGGAAATCGAGTTGATTGTTAAACAAGAAATATTTTCTGCATACATTCGCCAACAACCAATGCGAAATTAATTTGTAATTAAAATACATTATGTAAAATATTACAAATGTTATAATTAAGACAAAAGATTTAATTTAAATTATTATTTACTTAAACTTAAAAAAAAACATTTAAAAATGTATTATTTTCAAAAGAAGTTTTATAGAGAAGCATCTTAAAATTACCATCCTCGTGTTTACAAGGCGGGGCTTCTAAACGGAGGAGATGTTTCAATTAATTTTGAGAAATATTTAGTTCTTTAATTGGTATATTCGTTTTAATATTTTTATGTCACTTATTAACTACATATTTTTCTTCATTTTTAATTTAATATTATTATTTTACACTTTTAGTTTATAAATGTTTTGTGACACAATTTGGTGGAAAGAAAAATTATTGGAAAAATAAAAAATATACCGAAAATACACGGAGATATAGATGGAGTTGAAAGCAAAGTAGGGTTCTGTATACCAGGGGTGAATACAGGAATTTATTTTACGGGGGGGGGCAAATAAAAGGTAATGTAGAATATGCTTTTTAGATTTTTAGCCACCTTTAACCCGAAAACCTAATATTTAACCCAATTTATAGATATAAGGGGGGGTGGGGGTGAACTTGGCCTCATGTGCTCCCCCCTGTATCCGCGACTGCTGTATACTATGGATAAAAGAACACCTGCATATAAGGCCAGTATTACACTATCAAATTTCTTTGTCAAAGATTTTATTTTATCAAAGAATTTGACTGTGTAATATGTAGTTGGGGAGCACAACGTATAAAAATAGCTTCCCGTGGGAAACTTCATGAACAGAAGGTGCCAGTGGAGTTGTTTTATCAGAAAAATTATGTATTTTATTAATTTTTATGGTGACACCGTCAGATGTTGCGTTTGTTTGGAGTGCATTAAACAAAATCGCCGCCATAGCAATATAGACAATGTGCGCTATCGTCGCCGCTATTTAACCGATTTCAATTTTTTTAGCTTGTTAGAAGGGTAATGTAAAGAGGAAAACAATTAATTCTTGAAAGTATTGCGAAAAGATAATATTTTGGTTGCTGGTTGGATTTAAAGTGAAAAAAATTGAAAAATATTGTGTTATATTATTTTTACCAAAATAAAATATGGTCTACGTTATATGAGTTCATGTATTTAAAAAAATTTAAGTGATACATTTGCACATATACATATATTAATAAAATTATATCGGCATCATCACTATCAACTTCATCACTACCTTCGTCGGCAAAATCAGGCGGATACAAATTATCTCAAGTTGATTGGTCCGCATTACAACTACACATTTCTGTGCAAGACATATTGTTTGCTAAACATTTACATGGTGGTGAACATCGATTTTGAAGACACGAACATCTAACCAGTTGAAGAAGTGACTCTGGAGCACATGGTTCTTCACACATAACAGGGGTAAGCACTCCCTCTTCCAAATACCAGCCGTGTCCAACTGGATTAGGGATGACTGCATTTGGTTCATCATCTTTTGTCCACACAAAGGCTTGAAGATTAGCTCTCTTAATTGCGAGTACAAGGGAACCTCTCGTGGGGGGTAACTTATCTCCAAGGGCTTGTTTGGTAGTAAACATTGACCATCGCAATTCTGTAAGTGATTTTGTTAGAGTGCTTGCTTTATAAACTCGACAAATAAATATTTCTAGCTGATGCAAAACATCATCAGGTACTAAATCACTGGTACCAAGTTTCTGCAGGGCAGAAAGTTCTTCTTCACTCGCTGAAACAAATGCCTTCCAGTATGACAACTTTCCTTTTCCAAACAAACTTCGGTTGATGTCACAACCAGATATTGCATGGAACCCGGGCAGTGCTGAAGATTTTAGTGGTCCGAGTGAAATATATATGTTTTTAACTGATATTGCCTCGCCTGACGATTGGACAAAAAAGGTGTTTTCGGGAAGCCTTGCATAGCGCCTCACTAGCAAAACTAAAATATCTGTATCATTAGCAAATACCAGTAGTGTATCTGCACCTCTAACTTTCGCATTAATAACATGAAGTACAATTTTTGTGTCGGCTTCTTCTTGAGTATTTTTTAAACAATCCAACGAGCAGTGCGTCGCAGAAACTTCAGTGCGCCATGAAACAACATACTTTTTTGCTGATATCTTGGCATGACTTAGAATTGTATGTGCAAGATAGGTGGTTAATTCATCCTTGGTACGAGTATGTGACAACAACTTTTTCAAATTTATATTTGATATGTCAGTTGTGTCATATATTTTGTACTGTGTTGCGACACCGTCATGAAGCCTCTTATCCCTAGTAAGGTTTTTTATTGATTCGTCTAAGTACGTGTCGAAAATAACATGAAGTTCATAATATTGCCAGTATTTCCTTTGGATCTTTTGGGCGAAGAAATCTGCAAGATCTTTACAAGTTTTCACTGCGCTAGTTTTATCAAGAGCCTGCAATTCTCCCATTGCGTCTACAATTGCAACGCAGTTATTTGATTGGTGAACTTGAGCAGATGAAAAAGAATCTTTGGCAGTGGATTCCACTACAAACTTCAAGATTTGAATTAATTTACTTTTAGCTGGGCATTGATGCATTGTTCCGTCTAATGCAAACATGGATCTGGGCGCAGCTGACATTTCATACTTTCCTAAGGTTGTGCGTAGGTCTATTTCACGTTGAGATCGTGCGACAATGAGCAGGGACCGAGATATGCCACTTGATACATAATGAAGCGACGGCCATCTTGGATGACGTCATCATAGCCACACGCAACATCTGTAAAAGTGTCACCATTGACATTATTGGACTACATGTTTTTATCTATCGATTAGTACTACTAGTACCTTCCCTTCATTAACTTTCCCACGGGACACACAATGCTTCCGTACTAATGTGTGATTTTATAAAATATTGTATAACCAATGTCAAATTTTTCATCAAATATTTTTTATCAAATATTTTTTATTTGACAAAGAAATTTGATAGTGTAATACTGGCCTTATATGCAGATGTTCTTTTATCCATAGTATACAGCAGTGGCGGATACAGGGGGGGAGCCCATGGGGCCAAGCCCCCCCCCCCTAATATCTATAAATTGTGTTAAATATTAGGTTTTTGAATTAAAGATGGCGCTCTAAAAAGCATATTCTACATTACCTTTTATTTGGAACCCCCCTAAAATAAATTTCTGTATCAGCCCCTGATATACAGAACCCTACTTTGCTTTCAACTCCATCTATATCTCCGTGTATTTTTGGTATATTTGTTATTTTTCTAATATTTTTTCTTTCCACCAAATACCTTTAATAGAAGAAATACTTACCTATTTAAATTGTTGTACCCGAAAAAAACTGAAAGTTTTGAAAAATGTCCCATTATTACACCACTTTACCTTATAGAGATTTTTCACCGTATATTTTCTTTTCAGATACGTATTGTGTCTAATTAATCAAAATAATCTACTAAACTCTGGTAGTTTACCTGAACTGAATAAGGGTCTGACTAAAGGCAGCAGTTTAATAGCAGCATGGTTCATTAGTTCACGAACAGGTACTTCATATTGGGACCTCTATTCGGATGTTACCCAAGATCAAAATTGTCAGGTAAATTAAAATTATTCTACTATTCTTAATTCTGTCTTTTTAATATACTTATTGATTTTTAGAATCTCCACAATAAAAATTGTGACGGATTCCACGAAGAAGAAATCAAAGTTACCACGGAATATATACATACCGAACTATAAAGAAGCAAATGATATTCACTCCACTGATTTGTATCAGTTTGAAAATGCGACAAATTATAGTTGTGAAAGAGACTTAATAATTTTCTTCACTTTAACTTATTTATATGCATGGTTGTAGCTAGGGTCTAGTCACAAGGACTACCTATAAGTCCCTTTTCATATTATTTAATTATAATTCCATTTTGAGGGGGCTTTTAGGATACTCGAAATTCTAATCCTTCATTGGGCAATCTTTGTCCCTAGCTAGAGTATTCTTGTATACCGTCCAGTTTATTTTTATTTATGAATATGATTTTTTGCTTATCTTTATATGTCATTACTTTAACAAATGTGAAAGAAAATTGAAATATACTGATTATTAAGATAAACAAAACCCTAGATATTTTTCTTTAATACGTTATGATAATTTTATAAATATATCTAGAAATGAAAATGTCTCCTATTCTCAAATAAACTGATATACGTAATTTCTTATATAAATATAAATTCCGAAAAAAATATACATACAGGGTGGCGCTTCTTATAGGAGCCAGACTCTCCTAAAGGAACAACAGATTTTATCTCTTATTGTATATGTACTACTAAAAGTTTTAAACTGGATAGGGTGCACAAAAATGTTATATATGGACGTTGTGTTTGTATTAAACGGAATACCATAATATAAATTGGTTCTCAGATTCTGGAATGTAAATAAAAGTTAGGTTCGTGGAAGATGTTAATGCACAAAATTTCTTTTGGACATACATGAATTTTGCATTGAAATCCAAAATAATATACTAGATGCTTCATTTAATATTAAGATAGTCAAATTTTAACATAACATGTTCTGAATTAGTAACAAAAATTTAATATTAATTTTGCCTCACCCTGTATAACTTTTCTTGTCAAATTTAAATTTGATTTATGGTTTAATTTAGGTAGCTTTTATTCAAATTTAAAATTTATTCTTCATCTTTCGAAAAAAGTAAATATGTTAAGAACATCACATTCTAGACGCACATTTCTTTTATAATTCTGGCTTTAATTTTCATCTTAGTATTCGAAACGAAACTAATATGGCTGTTCCATTAAAACACACTTACATTATTAAACATACTTATCATTACAACACTTCGATATATTTACTATATACTTTGATATTCTACTCTTTTAAGAGACTGTAAAAGTTCAAATAGTTTTAAAATGTAGTCAAAATAAAACTATTATAGTCGCGTCTCAGAAGCGCTACACTGTATATTAAAAAATGTATTATTCAAACTAAAATGTAGGATGTTCTGACAACCTAAGAGTAAACAAAATACACAACTAGCCAGAATATCAATAGAAGCTAGATATAGAAAAAGTCAGTATTTTCACATAGCAAATTTAAATCCTTTATCTTTAAATAGAACTGAAGCAACTCAAATATAGTAGTACCTATACATATGCTACAAATTATTATATTTGTTTCATCATTGTGAAATAGAATTCATGTCAGAAATATTTAATACTATACAGGGTGCTACAAATTCGAGGTACGAGCATTTGTATCTCCGTATCTGTAAACCGTATTAGATACGAAGATGGTTAAATTGGGGCAAAATTGCGCTTTGTGATGTTCACCAAGATGCCATCGAAAAAGTTTTAAAAATTTCAAGGATTGCTGAGTTTTTTGGAAGAAACGGATTTTTTTGAAAATCAATTTTATTTTTTCCTGTTGTTACTTTTAAGAAAATCAAAAAACTAATTGCACATTCTCATAGCCACTTTATAAGGACTATCTGATAGTATTTTTATATTTTCAAATTAGCTGATAATTTGTAAGATACAGAGGCCAACTTAATTTTTTTAAATACGGACCTGCATTTTTTATTTCAGATTTTGAAAGAACTCGTCTCCAGAGTACAATGATATGCCACAATTAATATTTTTTTTTGTTTCGGACATTTGAACAATTAATTTAATTTCAAGTCCGGCTCTGTTTTTTTTTAATATTTAATCTATTCATCGTTAAAATATTGATAAGCTTTCAAACTGAACTATAACGTGGGGTAAAACATTGAATATGGAAAATCAAATGCAATAGAATTATAAAAAATAATATACAAATGAATACATTACTTCACGTCATTTGTAAAAGTGAAATCAATACCTCAACATTTACAATAAAGAGTACAAAATACATTCGGAAGTATAAGAAGAAAGTTCAAAGGGCTATAAATAAAATTGAACGAAAAATAAATTTGTGCAATATGGAGGTTGATAACCCTTTCGAATATGTAGAGCATTAGAAACTAGTTTGATAATTTAAACTAGTTTGATTAATAAGTAAATCTTCTATTATAATAACTACGATTAATATTACGCATATTATTAGATCGCACACTGAAATTTCAAATTCACAATAAAAAAAAGTTAAAAATAATATGTTTAAATTGCTGACCTAGATGTAATTTATTTGAATCTTCCAACTGGCTCGATTTTCCTTATTCAATGTTAATTAGCGCTGAACAATATTGTTGCGATGAATATAATAAGATTAAATAATTTAAAAAACCAGGGTCGGACTTGAAATTATTTTAAACAATAATTAAATAGTTTTGTTGTTGTTAAGGTACCCAAAACAAAAAAAAAGTATAAAGTGTGGCATATCATTGTACTCACGAGACCGAGTTCTTTCAAAATCTGAAATAAAAAATGCAGGTCCGTATTTAAAAAAAAATATGTTGGCCTCTGTATCTCACTAATTATCAGCTTACTTGAAAATCTAAAAATACCATCTGATAGCTCTAGTAAAGTGGCTATGAGAATGTGCAATTAGTTTTTTGATTTTCTTAAAAGTACCGAGAGGAGATAATAAAATTCATTTTCAAAAAAATCCGTTTTTTCCAAAAAACTCAGCAATCCGTGGAATATTTAAAACTTTTTTGATGGCATCTCGGTGAACATCCCAAAGCGCAACTTTGCCCCAATTTAACCATCTTCGTATGTATTTCTGTTTTCGAGATACCAATGCTCGTACCTCGAATTTGTAGCACCCTGTATATTAGTGTAATTTGATGATCGAAAAAACGGCGTCCAGGTGGCTTAGAAATGACGATCGATAACATTCCCCATATAATTTTACACATAAAACAACACTGATCTTCATTTCATAGCCATCACTAACGCCGTTTTTTTTTTCTCATCGAAGAGATGAGATCTGCGATCTTTCAACATGCTGAATATTTTTAACTGCACAAACCGCAGATGTAGGGGGAACTGTACTAGCAGTGGCGTAGCTATCATAGGGCAGTTCGGTTCAAAGCACCGTGGCTCCACAGGAACTTTGGACCCCGCAAAGCTCTTCAAAATATATTTAATAAAAAATATACATTACTTTGGTTTTGTTCTTTACTCAGAGGCCCCAAAAATATCTTGCACCAAGGCCCCCAGTTGTCAAGTTACGCCACTGTGTACTAGACTAATAGACTGATGAATTTATTTTCTATAAAATGTGAAGTGTAGTGTGAAAAGACCGCTATCGATTTGGTTTGGTTTGGTCTTAATATCTGAACTATGCGATTTAACATAAAGATCAAATCGTTGCGTGTAGGGCCCTTTTTCCAGTTGGCTTGGGCATGAAAATCTTTTATGTAATAGAAATGGCATGAAAATCTTTTAAAATAGTTCATATGGACTTAAAACTGAATCTATTAAAATGTAACTTGATACAATAGTGTGGCAGTTAAAATAATTAAAATGCCTTTTAGTGGAAAAAATACTTTATTTAAAATTGTACAGATATTATTTAAATAGGTACATAAAATTATTAATTTATATTTTAACATATTGTTTTCTTTACTCCCCTTCATAAGTATTTTTTTCAAAGTCAGAAAAGTCTAAATTTTTGCGACATTGGCAATATAAAAATCCAATTTTAAGGCCTAGGCATAATGTAAAGCACTTTTACGCCTAAGTACAAAAGTTTGAAAATATATTATTAAACAGACATAAAGTGATAAATTCAACGAGTGAAACCATAGTTTCTCGATATGTAATTACTTACTACAATTCATACGCAATAAACTTTTAGTCCTGTGATTAAACTTGATCGGCACAGAGTTACCCACTTTTATATATTTTCTTTTAATCAATATTTTCAGAAACAAAAATAAATTCATTATAAATATACATATAAACAGTTATTATTTACATAAACAAAACTTACCTTCTTAACAGCACAAAGGGACATAAAGACCCATTACTACCGCTTTCCCGTTCAAAATATTGTAATAAAGTGGCGATGAGTTTTTTACGGCTATTAAGCTATCTTGTAAAATACTAAACTAAAAGAGGTTCTAAAAAGAATAATGTTCGACTGCAAGGTCTGCTAGTAAACATTTTTAAGCTTAAAGGGTCACAACCAGGGTTGGAAAAAATCAAACAAATCAGATTTTTTTGATTTAAATCAGATTTTTTTGATTTTAATTCAAAACAATATTTAAATCGATTTTCCAAACGACTAGAACTTATTTCCAATTAAAGTCCTATCCTAAATAGCTAAATCTATACCCCGATACCGATAACATTAACAATTCTACGGGGTGTGTGCTTTTTTCACATCGGTCACCAATATATGTATATTCCGCAAAAAAAGTCGTTCGCTTCAGATCAAAAGAATTTTTTTTCAAACGTCTCAAAAGTATTAATTTTTGTCATTTTAACGCCTAGACATAAAAGTAAAGCACTGTTACGCCTAAGCACAAAAGTACAAAAATATATTATAAAACTGATAGTAAGTAGCAAATTCAACGAGTGTATAAATTGTTGCTCGATTACTGTTTGCATTATTTGCAATGTTTGAATTTGATTAAAAAATATTTCTAATGTTTAAAAAAATAGTATGTTCTATTCGGAGTAAAAATGTACTTTTTATGCCTCCCTGTAACGTCGGAATAGCTTTACGATGGTCCTTCAAAGGCTGTACCTTTATGTATCGTCAAAAAAGTATAATTTTAAATTTTTACTCCTAACTAAAACAATACACTATTGTTCGGAAATAGTCTTAAGTCGAGAATGAAATTAGTATGTATTATCTAATGTCAAAGTGTAAAGTACTTACTGCAAATCAAAATGTCGATAGGAATTATTATTAGTAGGAACATAATTTCTGACAACGATTGTAGATTCTCGGGAATGAAGATATAGTCTCTATTAATAAGAAGGATCTACCGTATGATCGAGAAAAAACGGCGTCAGCGATGGCTATGGAATGAAGATCGCTGTCATTTTATATGTAAATTTATATAGGAAATGTCATTGATTTTCATTTCCCAGCCAACTGGACGCCGTTTTTTTTCGATCATACGGTAGTTTTGCATTAGACTTTGCGAATGATATATTCGAACAGCGAATTTTTGTCACTTATACATAAATTTTAAAATCCCTGCGTTTAGCGGTCTAATAAATTCACACGAAATTAGTTCAAAAATCGACCCAACAATTAAATTGATGAATAGTTATTTTTATATATATAGTTTTATAACGTTTACAATTATTTTTCGATTTATTATCTATTATATCTGTTATAGTAATATTTTTTGTAGTTTTCTAGGACACATTTTTATAACTTTTACAGTTATTTTTTGATTTATTATAAAGTTTCAACAAAATATTTTTTTTTTATTTAAATCACATGATTAAAATTAAAAAAATCACTTGATTTAAATCACGATTTAAATCATGTTTTAAATCATTTGATTTATGTCATTTGATGATGATTTAAATCATTTGATTTAAATCATGCCAACCCTGATCGCAACACTATTTATTTAAACCAAAATCTCGTAATACAACGTAATACAAAACTAAAATGTCAAATCGAATGACAATGTCAGGAAATAAGCCGAATATGACCATGTGTGGCAACAATGAATTTAAAAATCGCACCCTCTATTACATAACTAAAAGTCTAATTGATATCAAATATAAATATTTTTTAGCCGACCATACCAACAGGTATGGTAGGCTATCAAGATCGGCAAAAAAAAGATTTTTTAATTTCACTCAAAATGAATTATTTGGGTCATATGACCTAAATACCAAATATTTTCATGGTGTCTGTCTGTCTGTCTGTCTGTCTGTCTGTCTGTCTGTCTGTCCGTCTGTAACGATAACTCAAAGACCGCTAAACCGATTTTAACCAAATTTGGCACAAAAATACTGTGGCACCCGAGAATCTGGCCATTAGTTTTTGGTGGGTGTGGGGGGTTGGTAAGGGGGTATGGAAGGGGATTAAAAATTTAATCGTAACTCCAAAATTACAGTAGCTAGCGAAACGCTGTTTTCAATTTAAGATTAGGAATAATATTTGCAACAAAATTTGTAATAACATCAAAATCAGTCAAAGTCGCAGTTTTAGAAATATTCCGTGTTTCCGTAGTCCGTTTTTGAGAAAATCCGTGTGGAGAACTCCAAACTCCCATCGGACGGGACCCCAGGTGGCGGATAGGAGAAATAACCGCGGACCAAAATGGGAAAAATTCCTTTATTTTGAAACTAAAAGAACTGCCTACCACCTTTTTATTAACATATTTTAGTATGGCCTAACCTAATCTAGCCTCCCGGCGCCAATTTTTTTTCCATAGCAACTGTTAAAATTGCCTTATATCTATCAAAAATAGTAGATAGAATAGTAGGAACCGCAAGGGTAGATTAAATGATATTTTAACAGCGAGGATAGGTTAAAAAGTTTATTTCTTCTGGCACGTTTTTGAATTGCTTCCATTTTAGAGAATTTTTGTATTCCTTTTCATAAGTTATTCGGGATTTAAATGGAAGTAGTTTGGATATGGCGTTTGTCGCCTCAGCCTGAATATCTGTTGGTAATTTACTCATTTCGTTTTGGTTTGGTTTGGTGTTGACACGAAAGAGAATTTAAAAATATTGACTCAAAACTGACAACTAAAGAGACAGCTTTATTTATTTGTCAAATTACATAGGAACCAACGTCAACCCAGCACAATATTTTCTCTGCTTGTAATACGAGTAAATTCCTTGAAATAATAATTTCTGAATATTTTTTCAAACGTAACTCGCTATGGAAAAAAATATTATTTTATACACGACGATAAAATTGCATTATCGTCTCATTACAAATAATATAGTATCGTATATTATTTGTAATGTTTGAAATTATTTAAAAAAATATTTATGACTTGAAAAAAATTGCATGTTCTGTTCGGAATAAAAATGACTTTTTGTGCCTTTCCTGTATAATGTCAAATCTTCTTCCTTGCCACAAAAAGTATAATTTTTACTCCGAGTAAAACAATATGCTATTTTAGTGTGTTGAACAAAAACTTGAACTAGTTTATACCAACAAAAACGAAACACTTCAATCTCATTGATTTAATAAATAAATAAAAATTAAAAACAAGTTTATTTAAAAGTCTAGACCTGTTCCTTTTGTATGTTCCTTTGTCCATTTATCAAATCTCTCGATCATTTCTTCAGACATGACATTCTTATAGTCACCAACCTTTCCTGTTCGCATGAAAGAACTGTTTTTATCAGCTTTATATTTAGATGACAGTTTCACTAGCCAATCGTAATTGACAGCTGTGTTATTTTTCATATTGTCGAAACTAAGATGATCTGCAAGTGTGTAAATTTGCTCTTGGGATAAGTTTTTACCTAAAAAGATGGCTACCCGATCAATAACACCAGGAAGGTCTTGCTTTAATTCTTCGTATTTGAGAAAAAGGATATTTTCCTCATTTCGTCTTTTCCAAAATGGTAGAACGTGATCCCAATATGGAGCATAATTAACTAGAAAAAAAAGGTGTTGATGATTTTCTTTCAGTAGGTACTTAGCAACATAATATAAATTTACTTTTTCCTCGCAAAAACAGATTGCAGAATTCATCTAATGTGCCATCAAAATCTTTTATTAACTTTGAAAAATAATAATAAGATACGCAGGTGTCCTTTGGATTCCGTGATATATAAATTATCTGTAAAAAGTAAATTTATGTATATTTTTTAACATTTAGGAGTAAAATAGTATACCCTACAGGATATTTTCTAAGTAGTATAAGAAAATTCAGGACGTGATTCGTTAGGGGAGAGTGGGGCAAGTGCGGCACCTTAACGTTCAATGATGTACTATTTTTTTATTTTAAGAAATAGAGAGAAAAACGTTTATTACATAAATACTAACTTTAACTGTATAATTAGTTTTTTTATTTCGTATGAGAAGCACAAATAAAGGATATGTGAATACATTCTATAAACATACACAGAGATAAGCATATATAAACAAACAAATAGTTGTAAAAGAAAAAAGAAAACATGCATGAGAAATATAAGGACTTAAAAATATTACAAGTATATATAAAACATATATGTAGTCAGGGACAAAATTTACATTAAACATTTATATTGAGGTCATTTATCCAGTCAATTGCCGAAGAAGTAGCGCAAAATAAGTTCTGGATGCCCCCAGAAAGGCTCTGGGTGGACATTCGGTCAGAATGTGTTCCATCGTTTGTCGTGGAGCGCCACAGTCGCAAGCTGGTGAGTCTTCAATTCCCCATTTATGAAGCATATCACGGCATCTGCCATGACCCACCCTAAAACGATTTAGACGACTCCAGGTATGACGAGGAAGGTCCATGCCCGGGAGGGCACCCGATATATCGGCAACTAAGTTCAAGTTGCGTGTTCCCAGACTGCTAGCCACAAGCTCGTTCCATTTGGAGTGCATATTGTACTCGCTGTTAAGTTCGTCGTCCATCCAGATTGGGTTGCGAGATTTGAGGCGCTTAGAAGGAGGAGGATTGATAGACAGTTGAATAGGTAAGCCGTCTTGGGTGGAAGCCTCCATCCACTTCTTTTGTGTCATAGCTGTTCTGCGAATTTGAGGGGGGGCAATATTCGCCAGGATCGGGAGCCATACCGTTGGGGTTGATCTTAATGTCCCAGTTACAACTCTCATAGCTTCATTGAGCTGCACGTCGATTTTATACGTGTGGTGACTTTTGTACCATACCGGTGCACAGTACTCTGCCGCCGAGTAAGTTAGAGCCAGCGCGGCAGTTCTGAGTGTGTTTCCATCCGCACCCCACGAAGTTCCTGCGAGTTTACTCAAGATATTATTTCTGGATTTAATTTTCTGTGCGGTTTTTGTAATGTGCTGATTATAGGATAAAGTCCTGTCCAACGTGACACCCAGATATATTGGGCATTGGTTGTGTCTAATTCTTTCTCCCCCAAAATATACATTCAGTTCCTCTTTAGCTAACCTATTCGACAAGTGAAATGCCCCAGTTTCCGATTTTAGCGGGTTGGGCTTAAGGTACCATTTCTTGTAATATGCATGCAGTATTTCAAGATTTCGCGTAAGCTGGTTGCCGCCTGTTTCCAAGGACTGATGTTATGTAGCCAGTGCCATGTCATCTGCGTATATAAATTTATGAGCCGTAGTTGGCGGGACGTCATTTGTATATACGTTGAAAAGAAGTGGAGCGAGTACTGACCCCTGTGGGAGACCATTATTAAATGTGCGAGGGGAGCTAGTTTTATCTTCAAATGTACTGTTATTCTTCTGTTGCTCAGCATGTTCTGTATGAGGTTTGTGATCTTTCTGCAGGGAATTATTTGTTGGAGCTTGTACATCATACCCTTTCTCCACACTGTGTCGTAGACTGATGATAAATCAACGAATGCGCATGCAGTTTTCATCCCCGTCTGGAAACCTGCTTCGATGAAAGTGGAAAGAGCAAGAACTTGATCAGTGCAGTTGCGCTTGGCTCTGAAACCTGCCTGTTTTTGGATAAGAACGTCTTCGACTGATGGCGAGATTCTGTTATAAAGTAATCTCTCCAGCAGTTTATAGGTCATGCTAAGTAATGCAATGGGTCTATAGTTTGAAGAGACGTCAGCCGGTTTTCCTGGTTTAAGTATGGCAAGGATCTTCGAATGTCTGAAAACACTGGGGATCTCGCCTGTCCGAAGGAGGTCATTAAAGAAGTCCAAAAGCCATTGTTTAGCTAAATTTCCGAGATTTTTTAGGAACTCCGGAAACACGCCATCCGGGCCAGGAGCCTTCCCCTGTTTCATTTTCTTTAAGGCGCTATTTAGGTCATCCATGGAGAAATCATGCGACCACTGAGACACGGAAGGTATTGAGCGAGATGTTGTTGTTACAGCTTTTTTGATTTCTCTGGAAAATTCCCTATCTTCTTGCTTGATCTTGGATACTTTCTCAAGCCGGTCTGCAATTGTGTTTGGATGAATGCTTAGTGTTTTTAAGGGTGGAGGGGCAGCGGCTCCAAGGCGTCTAAGGAGGTTCCAACCCTTCCTGCTTGAGTGGGTGAAGTCTATTCCTTCGGAAGTCTCTGTCCATCTCTTCGTTCTAGCAGAATCTAAGGAATCTATCATTTGTTGTGCAATTTGGGGATCGCCAGTGTCCTCGAATGCTCTCTTAAGGTTCTCCGTGTCGTTCGACCAGCATGGGATATACTCTTTACAGAAGCCTCGTGGAATGCTCTCCTTAGCTGATTTGATCAGTACCTTTACAAACTTCTTATAACTCTTCACTGTGGCAGGCAGATGCTGAATGCCTAGATCGACTGCTTCTTGGAAAACGCTCCAGTTTGCCTTTCTAAAATTCCACCGCTTGAGTTTAGCAGTTCTAATTACTGGAACTTGAACACCTACAGTGAGAAGGACTGGTCTGTGTTGACTGTTTGAAAATTTATGTAATACTTTCCGAGTGGAAGGGAGGGGAAGGTTCCGGTCGTTCCTATTAACGAAACAGGGGTCAGGATTGAAGTCCTTCTGCCATCTTGCCGAGTGGAAGGTCTTATTGTCCTTAGCATCATATAGTAGGCAGAGATTGTTACGCTCCGCCCAATCGTAAAGCGTCTCCCCATCTTTTTTAGTTATTGGTAGCGTAGCCCCAGGTAGTATGATGGCTATTAAACTCGCCTATGTAAACGCTAGGGAAAGGCTGAATTGTGATAACGTTCTCTGGCCATGTAAGACTGGGGGACTTATACACTGAAACAATTTTAAGATGTGGAAGCTGCAGCTCTAGTAGCCCCAATCCAGCGGCGGAGTCAGCGGATTCAGCGGAGAATTCTGTGATATTATTTTTCACGTATATAGCAGACCCATGGATGTCGGATAGGGTATAGGTTGCTATCTTAAAACCCTCTATTCTTGCTCTGTAGTTCAGTTGATCAGCTTGACCGACATGGAGCTCCTGAACGCAAATAACATCTATAGACTCGCTCAGAGCTATGCGTGAAATATATTCGCCTTTTGATCTGGAAATGCCCTCGCAATTTATTTGTAGCAATCGGACTGAAGCCCACGACATCCTTTCTACCCCCATTTTCAGTTTTTTTTAGATAATCTCGGCAAAGGTGCAATTCTCGACAAAAATACTTATATAGAAAATTGTTCTTCATAGAATTCTCTATCAAAAAGGTAATTACACTTTTTTCTAAAGTTAATAATAAAGTGACTAGCACTATCTACAGTTCAATCTAATTTAAAGTTTAATGTTTAACGCTAACAAAAAGCAGTAACCACTAAATTATACTTAGAATTTTAATATACGTTCTTCTCTCACACTCCTCTACACCTATAAAAAGAGTGATTTTTACTTATTTCCACATCTCCCTAGAGGTCAGTATTTGATGCGTTTTTTTTAAAGTGGTATCCCCTGTAGGTCTAATCCACTAATTATCAAATGTTAAAGACGGGTTTTTCTTAAAAAGTTTAAAAGTGCGTCGTGCAAATCGTGTAAAGCCGATATCTAGTTTGAGCAATACAATGAAAATTAATGGCAATGATGTTCAAGTTGACTCAGCATTACTATTTCAAAGAATTATTTGCACCGTTCATTCTAGCCTGGAGTTAAAAAAGTGCTTTAGTTTCGAATTAGCTTCAGTACCTCTTTCTCTTTTCGATGCGAAAAGCCTAATGAAGAAAACTAATAAAGCAGCTTTATTCCAGATTGTCAATAAAGTTCCAGAACGAGACTATATTTTTGAAAACAGCGAGTATGTCATTGATGGAGGATATTTGCTTTGCCGCCTAATATGGCCAAAAAAAGGGACATTTAACATTGTTTACAACGCTTACGTTAGTTACGTTAGTTAAATTAAAAACATTATGGGAATAGAGTAACTGTCGTGTTCGATGGTTATCTGGAAAATGCAAACAGCACGAAGAGCCTAGAACGACAGAGGCAGCTACTTCAAAAAAGCTATCCTCATTTTATGTTTGACGAGAATACCGTTGTCTCTGAAACTCAGCAGAACTTCCTAAGTAATTTGTTTAACAAAGAACGTTTAATCATAGAACTAGTAAACAAATTTAGGAAAGAAGGTATAGAAGTATTTGTTGCTGCGGATGACGCCGATTTATTAATAATTCAAACTGCTATAGAAAAATCTAATAATTGCAATACAACTGTTATAGTAGGGCAAGATATTGACCTGCTAGTTCTTCTTATTGCATTTCCCTCTGACAAAGATATCAAATTTTTAAAAGAAAAACAGGGTAATACTTGCAAAAGTATTTATTAGCGGTTGTGACACAACCTCGGCTTTTTTCCAAAGGAAAGTTTAATGCAATCAATGTATTCGCTAAAAGAAGTGATTTACAACATATTGTACAAACTTTCAATAATGAGAAATCTCCTCATGAAGAAATTGCAAACGTATGAGAGCAATTTATTTTAGCTTTATACAACTGTACCTCAGCAGAAAGCAGTCTAGATGAATACCGATTTATGTACTTCAACAAACATTGTCATGTTGTCAAAACTACCACCAACTTCTGCTGCAGCTCGGCAACACTCGTATCGGGTTTTTCACTAAATTCAAACATGGAGAGGAGTTATGCTCGAACCAAACCAAACCAAACCTACTGACTGGGGGTGGAAAAAAGTTGGCGGTATATTAACCCCAACAATGATAGACAAAGAGCCAGCCCCCGCATCTGTTTTAACGCTTATTTCATGTTCATGCAAATTAGGGTGCGAATACAGATGTAGCTGCAGAAGGGCAGGCTTGCGTTGCTCTACAATGTGTTATCATTGCCATGGACAGTCATGCTTGAATGTTGAACCTGTGGAAGATGACAAAGATTACTAGTTAACATTTGACAATTAGTGGATTAGGTCTACAGGGGATAACACTTTAAAAAAAACGCATCAAATACTTTACCTCTAGGGAGATGTGGAAATAAGTACAAATCGCCCTTTTTATAGGGGTAGAGGAGTGTGAGAGAAGAACGTATATTAAAATTCTAAGTATAATTTAGTGGTTACTGCTTTTTGTTAGCGTTAAACATTAAATTTTAAATTAGATTGAATTGCAGATAGCGCTAGTCATAACCAACCCTTATATTTGCGCCCTATTTGCCACTTTATTATTAACTTTAGAAAAAAAAAATGTAATTATCTTTTTGATAGAGAATTTTATGAAGAACAATTTTCTATATAAGTATTTTTGTCGAGAATTGCACCGTTGCCGAGATTATCTAAAAAAACTCAAAATGGGGGTAGAAACGATGTCCTGGGGGATAACGCACACTATTTAGGGATGGGAACTTTTCAGTTTATTAATACATATGATGTCCTGATTATTTCCACCAATTTTGAAAATTTTATGAATTTTGTCGGATATATCGCAATTTGAGCTATAATATTACTGAACTACTTTTATTTTTTTAGGTATAAAAACGAGATTTGGTGTGTTAGTATATGACATAAATCCGGATTCATTGATGAATATTAGGCAAAGAAAATAAAGTCCTCCTACTTTGGGTGCCCGCTCACGAAGGGATTTTTTGTAAGTGGAAAAAAAAGTGGAAACTAGCTTAAAGCGGAACTGAAGAACCTGAACTAAAGGCTCCATCCGTAACCTGGAATGGGAATCCTCCAACGGTCTAAGACACTCGAAAAAGTTCTTCAGAACTTACAACCAAGAATAATGAATGATTTTTCTTGATTTAAGTAAGAACAATCTTCGGATTGTCACGGGGTTTTTAACAGGACACTCTGTCTCCTCAACAAACACCTCAGTAGGTTGAAGCTGAGAAACAACGGCGAATGCAGATTCTGTGGGGAAAATGGGGAAACACCAGAACACCTTATCACTGAGTGCGCCAAGACGACAACTGTTCGTGTCATAAACTTTGGTACGGCTGATATCGAAGATGGAGAGCTGGTCTCTGTGGAGCCGTCTCAGACACTGGCTTTCGGCAAAGCATTGAGACCCACTATAATCCACTATAACTCAAGAAAGGGGAACACAAAATAGATTTGTAAAGTCGCGGTGATTAAGGCCCCTCCTAAGCATTCAACATTCTACATTCAATTAGTTTCGGTCTCCTCCTGTTTACCGGACTTTACTACAACTTTTGATTTTTAAATGGTTCCTGTATTTTTTCACTAGGTAGCCTGTATTTTTTCACTTAATTTGATAGCAAAAAATATTCTGAATAGAATGCCATACCTATCATAGTTAACTGACATTTTCGCTTAAAAAATAATATTTTAAATTTCAATCTAGGGTGCCCATAACTGTGTTAAAACCATAGATATAAAAAGTTAATGCCCACTTGCACCGTTTGTATAAACTTTATTTAAAGACTAAACAGTGATTAACTATAAAAAATATTATATAGTTAATCACTGTTTAGCCTTTAAACAAAGTTTATACAAACGGTGCAAGTGGGCATAAAACCACTAATTTTTAATCAAGGAATCTTGGAAAAACATATTTAACCCTCTAATGTTTTCCATGATTTCTGGCTTAACCGGCCAGAAGTTCACAAATAATCATATTTTTAATCATAAGTGATTTTTTTTTCAAATGGAACGAGGATGGCTTATTGGCATATTTGAATAGAGCAATTTCTTACAGATACCACATCCTTTATATTTTCCGTGAAATGGTCGTTATGAACACAGCTATGACACAATAGATTGAAATTTAAAATAAAAAATTTTAAGTGAAAATGTCAAAAGCTGACATATGATATGTAATTCTACTCGTCATTTTATATCGAATAAAAAAAATCAAAATCAGTTATTTTCAGTGAAACAGTAAGTGACCAAAAATAACTGAAAACGTCAATCAATTATGATTTATATGTCATATACATACAACATACCAAATCTCGTTTTTTTTTGTAAAAAATATTAATATTAGAGAGGGGTGAGTGGTTCTTTAAAAACACCCGGTATAACGGATAGTTCTATAAATTTTGCTGTGATGTACATTGGCAGGAGTCACAAATTGTCAGGGATCAGTTTTTAGAACCAGGTACTGAAAAAGTAGAATAATTCTACTTTTTCAGTAGCTTTTTAGTAGTATTTCTTGACCAATAAAATACAATTATGATTTTCACATCCATTTCACTTAATAAGAATAATGCACAAGTTTTAATAATAATGTAAAACGTTCTACTTACTTTTGGCCGCTGAACATCCTTTTGTATTGCTTCAGGTAATAAGTTCCAAGGTAGATGAGACTTAATACAAGCTGGGTGTTTTAGATTTTTAACGTATTTCAACGAATCAGTTATTGCTTGAGGTATAAAAGGTTTGAAAAATTTTATATGTGGATATCTCACTAGGGCAGTTGCTCTGAAACCAAATTTTTAATAAAATCTTCCATATTTTGTAAGTGAAATTTTACTCTATTTGAGGAGAGCGTTTTAGGAGATTTTTCCGTGCACCTTTATAGTTGAGGTCGTTTAAAATAAGCCACACCATTTCCTGAGTCCATGTTGTACCTTTAACAGTAAATTAATATAACTGAAGTAAATTTATATTACAATTAGTTTTGTACAAGTAACAAACCAGTTTTAGGAAAACTAATAATCCATACATCCTCATTACTGACTTTCCAATTGTTGATTTTATTTTGAATAGTTAAGTACGTTTTCGGCATGTAGGTCCCACCGATTTCGCAGGACCACTTTCCTAAAATATCGTCCATTTCGTGTAAACATTCTTTCGGTATTGTTACCATAGTAATTTTAATAGCGATCACCAAAATGAATCTACTATTTGCAAGTTTTACTGGAGTCAAAGTGATGATTAAACTTCAAGAACGAACCAAAAATATTCAAGGAAATTAGTTTTTATGGTTATGATCATCCAACAATATGCGATAAACTGAATAATTAGTAAATGTAATAAAGGAAATAATCCCTGATAACAGGAGAGTGGTAAAACTCTTATGACACACATTATCTGGGCCTATTATTGAGTAATATCTTGAATGAGTCGATCTGGTCCTATTTGTTTTGCATACAGGCGGTATATCTCAACTAAAATTACACGATAGAATATATTCTATAATTCTATATTATATTAAATAATATTCAATATTATTCATTACAGGTACCTCTAAAAATAAGCCGACAAGTGAGAAGACAATTTGCAGAGGCCAAGAATGGATGTGATCTTTATATACAGGGTGTCCCAGGCTGAGCGTTCATTAGAAGTTTCCAGAGAACTCCAATAGCTAGATCGGAGATTTTTTGCACATCATTGTTTCACAACGAGATCTATCGATTAAAAATACTTTCAATATGGCGGCACTTCCGGAAATACCGGAAGTTGACAGCAACTTTTTTATTTTAAATGGATACCCCCATTTGTTATTACGAGTACATACTTAAATTCTCCGTGAAAATTTATGATTTTTTTTCTTGATTTTATCTAGCTTCTTTTGACATTAAGTGTCAATCAGACAATTTATTTTCTTTTGTCAAAAAAAAACAATTATTTGAATTTCTTATACAGGGTGGCGCACCTCATTCGCCTCGGTTGACTATACAAAAACGGAAAGATGTAGAAGCAAAATATTTTATGGGTATATGTGGGAAGACAATGTGAATAATTTAAAATTATTTTCAAATATACAGGGTGTTTCAGAACTAAGATCTATGCCAAAGTTATACTTATTCTTATGGAACACCCGGTATTTTATTTTATTTTTGGATTCTTGGATATAAAATAAGACATTTATTATAAAGGTTTACTAGGTTTAAAACCTTTGGTTTTTGAAATATTTAAAGATGTTTAAATATGCATGCTATAATAAAAAAAAATTGTTAACACCCTGTACATTACTTTTCAGAATTAATTCTTGTGCTGACTTTTATGCCAGAGAAATAAACTAAAAAACTTTTTTGTTTCCTTAAATGTATACAGGGGTATTAAAAATTGCTGGTCTATTTTAAATATTTATTTTACATAAAAACTTTGTTATTTCAAATTCAACAATATGTATATTGTAAAACAAGTCGAAACAGATTCAAATGCTCTTTCAAACTATATTCGAGTTTCCTATACCTATTTGACTCAGATTTTGAATAAAAAGCGATTTTTCAATAAAATTGTAACCAAGATGGCGGTGTCGCCTTGACAATTTTCTAGTGACACTTAGTAGCTATTTTCAAAATCGACATTAGTTTATGGGCTTTATTTAAATTTATAACAGGTTACTTTTATTTAATTTACCTACAATAAGGTTTAATAAGTAAGTTTTTATTAAATATTTTTTCAAGAAAAACGAAGCAGTAGGTATTTGCTGGCGATAGCGGAAGGAATGAATATGTTACTAGAGGTTTTATTTTGTGAAGAAAATTGCTTGCCCAAAGATATCCAAATATATAATCGAATTTGAAAATAACTAATAACTGTCACTAGCAAATTGCCATGGCAACACCAGCCAACTTGGTTACCATTTTATTGAAAAATCGCGTTTTATTCAAAATCTGAGCCAGATAGGTATAGGAAACCCTAACATAGTTTGGAAGAGCATTTTAATCTGCTGCGACTTGTTTTAAAATATACATAGTGTTGCATTTGAAATAACAAAGTTTTTATGTAAAATAAATATTTAAAATAGACCATCAATTTTTGATACCCCTGTATACATTGTAGAAAGCAATCAAATTTTTTAGTAAAGTTTATTTCTCTGACTTAAAAGTTAGCACAAAAATTAATTCTGAAAGGTAATGTACAATTTAAGGTGTTGGCAAACTTTTTATTATAGCATGCATATCTAAATATCTCAAAAACCAAAACTTTTAAGCATATTAAACCCTTATAATAAATGCTTTACTTTATGTCCAAGAATCCAAGTCCAAGAATCCGAATCCAAAAAAAATACCGGGTGTTCCATAAGAAAAAATATAACATTGGCAAAGACATTGGTATGGATCTTAGTTCTGGCAGAGTTCTGACACACCCTGTAGGTTTGAAAATAATTTTAAATTATGCACATTGCCTTCCCACATATACCCATAAAATATTTTGTTTCTACATCTTTCTGTTTTCGTATAATCAACCGAGGCGAATGAGGTGCGCCACCCTGTATTATAAATACTGCCTGCGAAAACTTTATAAAGTGTATTCATAAAAATATATCTCGTATTTTAGTGATATCTAATAGCTGATATTAATAATATACCATATGGTCGAAAAAAAGGGCGCAAAGTTTTCTTGAAAATGACGATCGACGACATACTGATTTTTTAAAAAAGTGTGGGAATATGACATGGCCAGTTATATTGTTTTACATCGCTTGAGGTTTAAAATCATAGGCTACTGGTTTAAAATTCGCTTCAAAACGCTTCATAAAATATACGCTTCAAAACTATATCTTAAATAACTTAAAAGCGATTTATTTTTGGTGCAGGAATATCAAAAAGTAAAGAATTAAAAACCCTTTCACTAGTGAATAACAAACAGAGGTTTTCATTTGAAAAATGAGATTTATGATTTTTTAATCTCTCAATTCCATGACAGCTACACCCAATATTATATGTCATTCAAAGAATTTAATTTTTGAAATAGACAGCCACATGTCTCCTCTTTATGTCACAGTGGCTGTGGTAATCACTAAATTTGAAGTTTAGGCCTCTGTTTAGGCCAAAGACATTATAAAGATAGACCGAACATCTCATTCATAAATACTCGTTGGTAGTGTATCAAACATTCCAATGTGTCGAACAAGGACAGAAGAGACAGAGAAGTCTAAAATTTCCGACCCCGGCAACTAGGCACATTTGGATTGTTCTAATGGCCAGTGGCGTATCGTTTTTGGAACGAATTTAAGTAGTAAAGTAAAAGTAAAGTAATTAGTAAAATTTTTACTCCATATTAATATACTACATTAACACTTTTTCGTTAGATGAGTTTTGTTATAAGGTCTAATATAATAATATAATTAATATCCCACATATACGTATGTTGAAACGTTAGTAGATAGTTTTCGAAAATCGCTCCAACGTCGATATCCAATTTAAACTGTCAGTTACTTCTCTATAAAACTTTCAGTTACTTTTGAATATTTACAGAGTGACTCAGGCTTCCGAAACAGTTCTATATTAGGTTTGTGGTTGGTGACTTTTCTTTCATTTTTTTTTAGAATATGGAGGCAATGGTAAAGCACATTTTAGACATTTTTGTAAACATAGGTGGCCGGAACATATTTTCAAACTAAAGTTGTAGATTTGCCATTAAATTTTCATTCCAGAAATACCTAGGGTTGCCACCTGTCCTTTTTTGAAAAGGGCAGTCCTTTTTGGAATAACTTGTCCTTTTGACTTTTTTGACTTAAAAAGTCATTTTTATTTACGTATTTTCCTTAAGAAAATTACCTACAGCAAACAGAAATATTCTTTTCGTCCAAATTTAATTAGAGATGTTATAAAACTTATAAATAAATTTTTCTTGTTTAGAATAGGCAACATTATTTAGAACTTCCCGTTTAATCTCAAATGATAGTTTAGGTTTTAGTTTTACTTTTTTTGATCTTAAAAAGAACTTTTCAAAATTAGTAATTAGTTACGATTTAGTTAGTTCGCAATCAATAGCTTCCTGTGAAGTACTGTGTAGTTGTTTAATCTTGTATTATTAATAACTTCCTATACCTAAAATCAATATTTATTTTAATGGGAAAATTGTGTTAATAAGACAAGAAGTAAAAATATAAGACAAGATTTGACTTTCGGTCTTCTTCTCGTATTATGATGGCTCTGATACGAGGCAATTACCTTTTAGTCTCTCAATAGAAGGCATGTATCATTAAAAGTATCAAATCTGTGTGCTACAGTATGGGATTTCTGTCGCATAATAATGAATATTACGTTTATTTACAAATCCATTACTTAGGTAGCTTCATCAGACAATCAAATTTTAGTTAAATGTCCCAATCTTCATGAACTGTATTAAGCATATGTATTGCGGTTTGAATCACCCTGTATGTTGACAAAAATATTTTGAAAATGTGCTTTACAATGGCCCCGATCTTATGTAAAAAATTGAAATAAAAATCACAAACCAAAAACGTAATAGGTAAAAAGCTTTTTTGGAGGCCTGGGTCACTCTGCATATAGGTATGTATAAAACTAGTAGCCTAAGAATTATTTACAGTTCATTGTAAAAAAAGGTAAACACACCGCACAAATAACTCTAGAAAGAGGTATTTGTATTGTACGGTGGTAAAAAATTGTCTAAACAAGACCGAAGGGGCAGATATAAGATATAATAAAGCAATAAAATGTAAAAAAGGACGGGTAAACACCTTTGTTTATTTGTTGAGCAAAATTCCTTTAGAATATCGTATATAATGACCAAAATATGACGCAATTTAAAAAGTCACTTTTTCTGGCTTATAATAAAGTTTCAAATGCAACGTTTATATTCAAATTTGTTATGATTTACAACAGTTAGGTAGTAATTGAGACGAATTATAATTCAATTACCGGCTACTACGTTCTTATTTTAATAGATCAAAATTCAACAAATATAATTAGAAATTATTTTAATTGTGAGAGGCTCCCTTGTGGGACGCCTATGTACGATTACGGCGGAAACAATACCTACATGTGAAAAGACAAATTCGGGTAATTTGAGCTTATTTTTCCACACATTTGACACTGTCCTACCATATTGAAAATTCGCAGATTCAAAAGTACGTTAAACAAAAACAAAAACTAATGAAAAACACTGAAAAGTTCACTTCGGACTTGATTCCGACTTCAAACACACCGTAAGCTAAACGTAGTACGCTATAACGGACCAAGGGCCGTCGCGAGGGGTGGTGGGACGGACGGCTCATT